AGTAAAAAAAAAAAGATGTAGATAATATATTATTCCAGTGCCAACTGTTGAAATGACTCTGCTTTCCCTATTGTTGTAATGTTGCTTTTTAAATTTTATTACTAAATTAAAAAAATGTTTAATAATTAAAAATTTTCAATAAAATTTTTCTATAATCCAGTTTTTTCAGATGTTGATATTTGGTTTCAACACACTATTCAGTTAACAGAAGTGATATAAGCCACTTATCCAAAACAGGTATGTGGACTACCTACTATAATAATAAACATTTAAATATGTCAAAAAATTGTATTTCATGCTGAGAAACTGTTAAAAATAGAAATGAAAGAATATGTAAATATATACACGAACACAATTATAGTAATTCCTATCTTATCATTGCTACTTATTTGAAATATAACATGGTTTCATTTGTTTACTCTTTTAGAATTTTCTATGCATAAGTATAAATTGTTTTATTGTAGAATCACATAAAGAAAAATACATTCCAAATAAACAAAACAGATGTTAAAGCTATCTTTTGTAGAACACTATCTAAATACATATCACTCGTTGTTAATACTTCAACAATGGGTACTTAATATACTCAAACTGTGCCATAAATTTAAAATGTTATCATAATTTGTTCTCAACCATGTTATCCTTTGTGTAATTACCTTTGTGTAACAGATTACCGGCAGATTAAAGAGCAGTGAGTGAAATTTTTCTGCCAAGTGGACACATCATATCAACTCTTTTGAAACCCTATGAGTCTTTAAAGGTTCTACTGAAATAAAATAAAATGTAAACATGTCCAAATTAATTTAAAATGCACTTGACAGAGAAAATATAAAAGTGGGCTTGTGAGATAATATTTGTTGTATAGTTTACTACTTATTAGCAAAAAACGGCATTTAATTCAATGGCTATAATCCTTCCTTTACAATAAACCAACTGAATAGGGAAATATATATTATTGTCCATATTTTTTATATATATATATATTTTTTTTTTTGATGAGCAGCAGTTAATCCTCACCTGAGAATATTTTTTCCATTGATTTTTAGAGAGAGTGGAAGGGAGGGAGAGGAAATGAAGGAGGGATGAATAATATATATATTGTTGATTTCATAGATGAAGGGAGAGGGAGAGAGAGATAGAAACATCAATGATGAGAATCATTGATTGCCTGCCTCCTGAACACCTCCTCCTCCTGGGGATCGAGCCCACAACTCAGGCATATACCATTGACCAGAATCGAACCTGGGACCTTTCAGTCCGCAGGCTGACGCTCTATCCATTGAGCCAAACCGGCTAGAGCTGTCCGTATTTTTAAAAAATATATATTTTATTGATTTTTTACAGAGAGGAAGGGAGAGGGATAGAAAGTTAGAAACATTGATGAGAGAGAAACATCCATCAGCTGTCTCCTGTACACTCCCTACTGGGTATGTGCCCGCAATCAAGGTACATGCCCTTGACTGGAATCAAACCTGGGACCCTTGAGTCTGCAGGCTGACACTCTATCCACTAAGCCAAACCGGTTAAGGCAGGGCTGTCCATATTTTTAAAAATCCCTTTAGTGACCTCACAACTAGCAATCAGGGTGTTTTATTGATCAAGAACTATCCTATATAATAAGAGGCTAATATGCAAATTGATCACACTGCATAACGACTGGTCGCTATGATGCCCACTGACCACCAGGGGCCAGGCGCTCAACACAGGAGCTGCTCCCTGGTGGTCAGTGTGCTCCCACAGGGGAAGTGCCACTCAACCAGAAGCTGGGCTCATGTGCTGGCGAGTGCAATGGCAGTGGTGGGAGCCTCTCCCGCCTCCACGTCAGTCAGACATCCCCCGAGGGCTCCTGGACTGTGAGAGGGCGCAGGCCGGACTGAGGGAATTTCGTGCACCAGGCCTCTAATAGTGATATAAGAGAAGAACAGTATGATGACCCTCATTTCCTTCAGAAATCACCTTCTGAGTGAGGTGTTCCTTCAGTGCTCTATTTAAAATTTTAACTTTATCCCTGCCATGCAACTTTATATTCCCTCTTCCCTCATTCCCATCACCTTCCACTCATGAGATCTTACCATTATCTAACATCCTATATTTGACTCATATTTATTTTTGTTTATTATCTGCATTCCCCCACTAGATTTTTGGCTCTTGGAGGGCAGGGATTTTGATATTTTGTTCATAGTTGTATCGAGGGCAGTCTTTGGAACAGTATAGGCACTTAAATATTTATTGAACAAATAAAATGAGTACAAACAAAAATATTCCTAGAGAAAATTCTGTTTGTGAAGTCTTTTCCTGATTAAAAATAAATGAATGTCTTCTAACATAATCTATAACCATTCCTGAAGCCAAAAGTAGCTACTCTATTTTTCTCATGCCAACATAAAGAGAAACTGATTGCCAACTTAGAAATATCTAGCCTCACTTTTAATGTAAACTATTTATTTTATCTAACATGGTAAAACTGAGGCAATAGTGATAGTTCAGTTCTATTTAATTAGCATGGGTTGAATACTTAATAAGTGAAAAAAAAAAGTATCTAATGGGATGAGATGTTTCTTGAATCTTAATTCTGTCTACAAAATTACGCTATTTTAGAAAATCAAGCATTTTGCCAAATGGGAGAAAGGAGAGGAATAAGCATGTAGAAGGAAAAACAAACAAACAAACAAATGGAATAGAAAAATACAAATTATTTGACCCATTAAAGAAATGAACAGTTTGTAGCTAAAAGGAGTCCCTTAGTAAGAGAAAACAAGCATATGCACAAGCTATATCTGTTTTTTCTTATAAAGAAAACAAAAAATACGTAAAAATGTTTACCACTTTAAAGAAGAGAAAGATTGACATTAGCCTTTTGACCATCCTTAGTGTCCATGTCAGGGTATTCATGGCATATAATCAGCTCAGTTATAAACCCAAGGTATAGACATGAGCTGCATGGGAGTTAAAACATGAGACTGTGTGACTACTTGAGACACTGGGTTCAAACTCTAAGATCATAAGTGTGTTTAAGTCTGATTCTTTAAGCCACTTAAAGCTCTGTGAAGACACAAGATGATCCACATTAAAAAATCACTTGGTTTTATTTTGCTGAATAGAGCCATAGACCATGATAGACCATTTTCAATTATGAGATGGCTCAGAAAGTATGTATGAATTCAGAGAATGTTGAGACCCTATACTTTGTAGTACTGAGAATTTAATCTTTCATTAGAAAGAATAAAATCTAACCAGTGAATTTCCAATTATAGATTTCATAATGAATTCTAGTTATTGCTTCCTGGACCTATCAATTCCATTAATAGATGAATATCTTTTCTGAATCATAACTCAAAAAGAAATGTCAGTATTGTATCAATGATATTTATATCAGAAATAATAAGACAATGAACCCATTCTACTTGGATGCACTGGTCATTTATACACAATTGGAATTCTGGGGAAAATATCAAAGATAATCAATTTGTATATAGATATTAGGATAAAATTATATGCTTTTCATTTCAGACAAGGGTAGGAGGGAGAATAAAGCTCTGATTTTTAAAGTGCAATGGGCAGGAACGGGAGGAGAAATGAACAAATATCAAATAAAATTCCACAAATCATACAAAATGAGATTATCAGGATTTCCTAGTTAATTTGGAAAAATATATAATAAAAGTAACTCTCCACTGAAGCATAGTATATTGATTAGAGTCTGACATAAAAAAATAAAATAATTCTACTAAATTGTAATTTAGACTATTAAAATATTTAGAATCATTTTGCAATACATACAATAAATCAAATCATTATATTGTATACCTAAAACAAATACAATGTTATATGTCAATTATATCTCAATTAAAAAATATTATTTGGTCTTAAAGAATATAATTCTTAGCATAAAGACAACATGCATAAATAAACCAGTTAGTAGTTACAACCATCATTTCTCTTTGCTTTGAAAGGTTAAAAAAACTAAACCAAATCAATTAGTTAATGTTCAGCTTGTGTAAATCAGTGTACTTAGGAAAATTCAAATTTAAAAAGAGTAAATCAATAGTATTTTTAGAAATACATGTTATTCTACCCAACAATGAATTCTCTGCCTCCCACCCCCCCATAAATCCATTGTACAAACTTTGAAACTCAAAATAATAATTTAAAAAATTTTTAAAAACTGATTTGAGAGAGAGAGGGAAAGGAAGAAGGAAAGAACAACATTGATGTGAAGGAGAAAATCCACTGGCTGCCTCCTGCATGCTCCCTACTGGGGATCGAGCCTAAAACCTGGGCATGTGCCCTGACCAGGAAATGATCCGGTTCCCTTTTGGTGCACAGAATGATGCTCAACCAACTGAGCCACACAACCAGGCCTAAAATGTAGTTCTTTAATTAAATGGTCATATCAGGTAAGAGTCTTTTCAAGTTCAATATGGGAAAACTTTTACATACAAAGTAAGTGTTATACTTTGCTGTAATCAATTTTAGTGATGCTAATATATCTCAAAATATATATGGAATGCCTCTTTGGAAATACACATGAAGTATTATTAGGCTATGCAGTGGTCGGCAAACTCATTAGTCAACAGAGCCAAATATCAACAGTACAACGATTGAAATTTCTTTTGAGAGCCTAATTTTTTAAACTTAAAACTATATAGATAGGTACATTGTTATTAACTTAATTAGGGTACTCGTAAGGCTTAGGAAGAGCCACACTCAAGGAGCCAAAGAGCAGCATGTGGCTCTCGAGCCGCAGTTTGCCGACCACGGGGCTATAGCCACACTTCATTTTCAACCAAAGAGTTTTGTCCAACTTACGCACTATTATTCAGTCTTTTAAAATATCAACTATTTGCAAAACATTTAATCTAAACCAAAATGCAGGAATTTGCTGTACTGAGATTATTTAAATCAAAGTGAATCACAAGCCTTGAAAGTAATTCCAAAAGAAGTTTCAAAATTGCTTTCAATAGTAACAACAGCATTGAACACAATATACAGCCTCTAAAGACAGTTACATGAAAGAATATTTATTTATAAATTCTACTATTTGTTAAAAAAAACCAACCTGTTTATTTTATATTCATTTCCTTTATAACTGTAACCCTTCATTTGGGTTTTAGATGTAAAAAGCATGAAAAAGAATTTTACTTTTATTTTTTCATTTTGTTTACATTTTTCAATTAAATCACCTCAATTTCTGAACTATAAAATAGAAATTTAACATTTCTAATTCTGGACACCACAAATGTAAAACAAGTCCTATTTAACATGGATTTAAATGATATCTATAGATTTGTTTAGAGTGGAAAGGATTCTGATTTTTTGAAAATGACAGAAAACAATTTTCATTTGGGAGAAATCAACTAAGTATAAAATATGACTATTCTCACACAGGCAACACAAATAAATTGCTTGCTCTAATAAATTCTCAAAATGTATTTTAATCTCATTCCAAAAAGAAAGAAAATTTCTAGACACAAAGACATCTCATTCAATGTTTTAACATACATTCAGCAACTTAAAATATTATAAGGATCCAATATTTTCATCTTTTATAATCTCAATATATTATATATTTAATATATAATATATACAATACATACAGGTAGTCAGCAGGATTACAAAGTAATTTTTTAAAAGTCTGATCAATATTGATAAATATTTTTAGATAATTAAAAAGAAATATTTAGGATCATAAAATAAAATAAAATATGGGAGTTCCAAACCTAACAGCAAGATTGCGAATGTTCATAAAGCCAGTCATTTTAAAAGATCCCTCAAGTTGGACAGAATACATTTAAAACAATACTCTTGCTACTTTCAAGCAGCAGTACTTGTAGATAGTAAGCATGTACATCTCCACTGAATTTAAAATTACTATGCAGCTTTCTTTACTGTAATATACAGTAGCTATTTCTTCCTTTCTGTTGGATTTTTTCATTATTGTCCTTTGAAGAGTGACTAATATATTACCAACAGAAACAACTTTAGCTCCTTAACCTCCTCTAAAACATGGCTCAGTTTGAAGAGTGTTCTGCAGGCAGCCACATGAATATTAACAGTACCTTAATACCACTGAGAGCAACCGATAACTGGAGTCATAAGAAAAGTTTCAAAGACTGTTTCAGAGGTTTCTGTAAACCAAGGCAATCAGAAGTATTACCCTTGCAGATAGCCCTCTCTCACATCAGTTAATACAAGGAGTTAACATTTCCAATGCCACAGTATAGCACTTAATCTATTCAGTAATTTTACATATAACATCATTAATTCACCCTGAGAATACAGAGGAAGCATTTCAAACAAGATACTCTGATATGTTTCTTTTTTCCTTTGTATTTGCTTTCTTCTGTTTTTTTGTTTTTTTTTTGTCAGCCCTTCAAGGGCATTTGAATCCCAAGTGTGACTTGGATATCCTTTTTTGTTAACTGAGATTCATGCCACAGTGAGATACTGGTGATAGAAAAGCCCAAAAAGGCTTGTAGAAAAGAGACACGCAGCAATCCACCAGGTTAGAAAAGACAGAAGTCCTCGAAAGAGCAGAGGAGTGAAAATGTTTTTTAAGCTGCTCAGTGCCACTGTTATCTGTGTAACAGTTACCTTCACCTTCCCATCAGCAGATGGTAACTCAGAGTAAACAGAATTGGATGGTAGACTATTATCCACTGGCAAGGTAGAGACGGATTCTGGATAAATGCCCCAGGAATGATGACCTAGAAAATTCAAGACACAAATAAAACTTAAAGAATAACTAATTCCAAAGCTTCTTCTTAAAAATAATAAACTGTTTAATTTATATTTGAAATTAAAAACAAGAATTTTGTGGCAAAATAAATTATTTTGTTAAATATAAAGTAAAATAATAATCTTAACATACCTAGTAAAATATTCATTCAACTTGATCAGACTGTAATCTGGCCTCATCCGTAAAAGTATATATAAAAGCTGCAAGTATAATTTACTTTTGATAGCTACACTAAAATCTTCTAAAATAATAAAAAATTTTTCCTTATGTAATATCTGAATCAACTATCTCTACTGAAGTGACAGAGACAGACTCAATAACTTCTTAGAAATCTTTTCTTCCTCTAGAATATCAGAATAAATTTCTTTCTCAGAAACTATCTGTGATTTTAGTGTGAAAGACTATTAATAGCTTCCAGAAATTTTTTCATCATATACTTTCCAATGTTGGATAGGATATGAATCACATCATTTACAATTGAGCTACTCCTTTATGTTCCATAGATTCCTAAAGGACATTTCCAACTATCAGCAGCTCTACAGTACCTACTAAGCCCACTCAAATAATACTTTTAGTTCTTTTAGCTTCTTAACCCCTCCTCCCACTGGCACCAAGAAAAACGATCAATACAATAATAGATACTTCCTGAATAACAACACACAGGGACGTGATACCTTAGTTAACAGACTTATAGGATAACTGTTCTTCCATGGAGAAATCTCTACTCTTCAACTTAAGCTAGATATAAAGTAGAACTCACAAAAGGATTCTCTAATTCATATAAGTTTATAAGTATCTTGGAATAATTTAAATATTAGGCACTAACAAAACCTTAAAAAGTTCTTTTATAACATAAAATAAGATCAACAGTGATCACTCAAGTTATTCAATAAATCTGGGAACTAACCTTTGGTAATCAATTTTTATAAGTAAAGCACAACATAAAACCATATGAGCTTGAGTTTTCAACATGAGAAATCAACTTCTAAAAGTTTTCCATGTTTCCTATTCAAACTTTTCAAGAGAGGAACCATTTTAAGATGCATATTTCCTTGTAGGTAACAAGAAGCATTATTAACCACAGGTGGAAAGTACAACATGTTCCCAGTTGCCAGGGCACACCTACCTAGTGTTTTTAAAAGCAGAGTTGTGTGAAGCAGCATCACCAGAGGCGCCACGTACTGCAGTGCAATGACACAGAGGTAATAAAAGACCCGAGCCACCTACAACCAACAACATTCTTCAGTGTCTAATATGGCTGACATGTTATGAGTGATTTAAACTTTCAAATAACTGTCAAACTGAACTGTTTAAGAGATAAGAAATCCTTTCATGGAAATGAAACTAAATGGTAATAAGTTTTGTACCTCATTATAAATGTCCCCAACCTGACTTCAGAAAGGCTCAGTTTGAAGATGTTTCTTCAAGTGTGAAAATATTAAAATAGTTTCCTTTAAAAAGTTATTACGTGATTAATATAAATTGAAGAAAATAACCACAAAAATTCAAATAGTATATATTCACTTACATTTAAAATATAAAACAAAATAAGCAATCTCTAAAGACAGACACCTAAAAAAATATCAAACTAAATAATAGTAATAGGCAGAGTCATCCATGAACAAAACCCCCTAATAAATAAAAGCATCAACTCCCCATCCTATATGAATATATTTGTTTAAGGTCAAATAATTATAGAGTATGAAAAGATATAAAGGACAAACAGAAAAATGCTGAATGTTGATAAACACTCCTGAAGTAAAAAAAAAGGACTCTAACACAAAATCTAAAAAAAAAAAAGAAAAAAAAAAGACATGACCAGGAGGGATTCCTAGCACTTTCCTCCTCTGGAATCCCCATTAAGTTAAATATTTACGTTTCATGGTCAATTTTTGGAATAATGTTAAAACAAAATATATGTAGTCACTAAAATTAATATTTCCTACCCTTTAATTCATAAAGGCTTGACAATATATTGTAATGTCTTTCCAATCAATTAGAGGATCTCAACTTAGCAATAGTAGACATACCACAGCTTTACACCACACTACTGTAAGGTGCTTAAAGCACTTAAGGCAGAAAGAGGAATTAAGACCCTTTTTTACATGGAACAGACTGACGAAGCACAGAGGGAAGGGGGGTTGGCAGTGGGACTAGATTAACCAAAGAACTTATATGCATATATGTATTGCCCATGAACACAGACAATAGGATGGTAAAGGCCTGGGGCAGGGCGGGAACTGGGTGGTGAAGAGCAAGGAGAAGAAAAAAAAAGGAGGGACATCTGTAGTATTCTCAACAATAACAATATTTTTTTAAAAAGACCCTGTCTTGTAACACCAAAATCAGATCAAAGTCTCTTGATGTCTGTATAAAATCATCCCATTTATTTACAATAAAAATATTATAAAATAAAATTACAATCTATTAAAAGAAACCAAATTATTTTTTTCTTACAACACAGTATTTGTTATTTTTCATTTTAGCTACAGTATAAAACTTACCATTTTCTGTAGCTCCACTGTACTTATTCGGCCTGCTTCTTTCTTCATCTGATCCACACACTTCTGGGCTAAGTTTAAGTAAGCTTGCAGGTGACTACGCATCATGGCCAGCCGTAAAGCACACAGCAGGATTATTACCCAGAGTCGCAGAGTATCGAATGTAGCTTCTGTCATTCTACAGATCAAAAAGTTGACATGGTGCTTCAAAGATCTTATTATGCTAGCACGTTAGTTATGTGCTAATGTTCACCATAACCTATAGTTAGAAACCTACACTTAGATATAAAGATATAAAGCAAAAGTATCCCACTCTGCCACAGACTTGCCTATATAATACAGTACTTTCACTGGTATAACAGAACCAGATAGATGAATGGTTCACGAAAGTAAAGTAGGAAAGATATCTAAAAGAAAGAAAGTACAGTAGTACTTGGGATCCTTTTCTCTATCGATCCTTCTCCATGGAAAAAAATTGACTGTGAAATGAAAGGAGTTGGGTGCTCTTCAACTGGAGACCAGGAAAAAGAAAGCAGGAAAGCACTGGAGACTGTGGAACTATTAAGTCAATGACCCATCTACGGCATGGGGGAAAAGTAGGTCTACAGTTGTTCATGTGGAAAACAATACAGTATTTAATAAATAGAACAAGAATAGACTCTGTTTTGTGTACTCACAATTGTAAACCTACTTCTCTCCGTCCTGTATTGTGGCTAGAAGATGCAAGGCCATCCACAGCCCTGCATCTTTCCAAGGGGCCTATAGACAACACTGCACTCTCGGGAGCTGCGCAACAAGGGGGCTTGACTGATAGCATCCTGAAGACAGCTATTAGACAGACTTTGAGGGTGACAGGTAATGGAAATGAAGGGAATAGAATAAAGCAGTTAATCAAAAAAAATTTGCTCAGTTTATGACTTCAGGATTTATAATAACAGTCATTCAATAGTACTTCTAACTCAGATTATTTAACTAACCTCAAAGATTTGGGAAGTTGATCTAATGGGGTATCTCAAGAAGAAGTCTGAGCTGGGATAAAATACATAAGTAAAGAACAGGCAGAAGACATTTCTCCAAATTCCTGAAGTCATTCTAGGTTTCACTGTATATGTTCTATGTTCACTTTTGGTTTTCTTCTTATGAGGTCACGAGCACGCACAAATGACCACATTTTATTTTTTTGATGCTAAATCAGAACACATGGATGGATTTAAATACATTTCTGGGTTGAAACTGCATTATAACCATTTTTGCTTCTGACTACAAATAAAGACCTTTGAATTACTTATGAAATGGATCAGAAATGGGGATGGAAAAAAGAAAACAAAGATATAGGAAGGCAATAGTAGGTCTTCATATAAAACAAAATTTTTCTATAATTTAATATACAAACAAGGCAAAATCATTTATCTCCATTTCCTTTAAGCATAGTATTTGCTACTAACATGCGCAAAGTTTAGTTAGGGTGAAAGTGGGAAATGAATGTTGGTAAGTGCTAAGTGTTTATGTATACCAAATCTGACTGAATAAACCTTAGCCAAATTATTTAATTTCTGAGTCCATTACTTCATTTATAAAATGAGATGAGAATAGCAATCACACACAGAATTACTGTAAGAATGACATAAAATATGTAAATTATCAACACCTAGCATAATAACTGGTGTATGATGGATATATCATGAATGCTGGGTTCCTATTTTCCTAATTAAACTAAGGCAAATATAAAATCAGAGAATATAATAATCTATATATATAAAAGGTTAATATGCTAAGTGTCCCTCCAACCATCTGACCGGTCGCTATGACATGAATTGACCACCTGGGGGCAGACGTTCAACGCAGGAGCTGCCATGAGGCACACTGGCCATTTACAAAGAAACGGCACCGTGGACCTGGTGCCAACAAAGCAGTATTTGGCTTCCCCTAAGTGGAACATAGGCCCTGTGACAGCCCACCAAATTGCAGCCCACGCTGCCAAGACCCCATGGCGCAAAATGCGGCCCACAGCCCAGCCCAGCCCAGCCCAGCCCAGAAGGGTGGCTGCGGGCGCTGGGTAATGATGTCACGTAGCAACGCCCAGCTTCCTCCTCCTAGCAAATAGCCTCCTTGGAGTTTCTTCAGCCCCGGAACACAACTTGTTTTATAGCCAGGTGCAAACATTTTACAATTTAACCAAATGTTTGTGAAGTGTTTTCACGTGCCTCATCTCATTTGATCCTCACAGAAGTCCTGGAGTAGGTAGATAGGAGGCTCAATAGAATCCTATTTTCTTTTCATTAGCCGGAAAACGGAGATACAGAAAGTTTAGAAAGTTGACTGATTGAAAAGTAAGAAATGATGGACCTTAAAAATGACTTCAGGTTTTCTCACTGCGCAGAGTATAGTCAAACACTGCTACAGTTAAATATTTTACCCTTTGTTCTCCCTGCGTGATCTACAATAATAATGTGCTTTGTGTTGATATTTACTGCTGTGTTGCTGACAATTATCTGAAAGAGCAGTTGGGGTGCTTCACTGGGCTGGAAAAAGTCTAGCTAAATCAGAAAGCAGGTCTAATTAAGCAAGTTTATTCTTTATATATAAAAGGCTAAGTTGACTCACGCATGCGCCATACGTATAAAACTCTTGCTGGTGCCAATCGCACTTGTGTGTTTCAATCTGTCATTGTCAATCGTGAATTTGGTTGACACTTCTATTATAAAGAAAGGATGAATAGCAATATTAAAATATTTCTTCTAATTAATTTCCTTTCAGTGCGCACGAATTCGTCCACCGAGTCACTAGTAGGAGTACAAAATCCAACGTCTATGACCAAACTTCAAAGAAAGACTGGGAATGCTTTCAACATCAAAGACATTAGTTAGAAGTTTTTCTGAGATTTTGTCTAGAGCCCTAGGATTCTTAGGATATATGCTTTACCACCCCCCAAATACAAACAAAAGATTATTTAGAAAGTCACAAAGGTAGAAGTGAACTGTGGAAGAAGTGAGCCAGCTGGACTACATGGGCCTAGGAAACAAGTTCAGAGACAAAAGAAGGGCCCTTGAGAGAAAGAAAGACATAAGCAACTCGAAGGGGAAAGTTTCGGGCATGCTAGAGGAAAGAAAAAGAGGAGGAGGAGAGAGAGACCCACTTTTAAATACTTAGTGAATCTGTGAAGTTAAATTTACCATTAAGGCTTAATTGTGTGGGGGAAAAACATTCTTTTATTGGTACTTCCCTAATTCAATAAGATTAACTTTTAATAAATGTTATGGCCCTGGCTGGGGGGCTCTGTTGATTGGAATATCGTCCCATATAACAAAAGGTTTCAGGTTTGATTCCTGGTCAGGGCACATACCTAGTTTGGGGGTTCAATCCCAGGTCGGGGTGCAGACAGGAGGCAACTAATCAATGTTTCTCTCTCACATCAACATTTCTCTCTCTCTCTAAAAATAAAAAAAAATAAAAAAACTTATGGTCATCACTGATTATATAATCTAAGACAAATCTGTACCGGGATCTAAAAGTATACATAACATAAAATGCACACTGTGGAGTCAATGACTAGTCAAAATTTTCTATTTTAATTTTGATGAGGTAAAGCACTGAAGGGAATATTTATTAAGCACTTATTTCCAGCTGGTTGCATTACATGTGTTCTTTCATTTAATTCCAATGATAACTTTGTGAGGTGGATACTATTATCTTCATTTTCCAGATGGGGAAACAGAGGCTCAGTGAAGTTAAATAATCTCCCTCAAGTGACAGTTTTAGTGAAGATCAGAACTGGGGTTTAAACCAGCTCTGTATGAACCTTTCTATTACTCTAACATCATTTCACAAGGCTAATGAGTTAACATATCAAGTACATTTATTAATGTCTTTTAGTAAATTATTTCTATGTTTCCTTACCATCTTCTGTTAAAATATGGCTGTCTAAGTGGAGAGATAATATTAGATAATAATGTCAAGGCATTATTTAAAATTTTGATCAGTGCGATGACGATACTGATATGCAGGAAAATGTCCTTATTTTTTAGAGGTACACACTAAAGTATGTAGGAGTAAAAATGTTATGCCTCTAATATACTTGAAAAACTACATAAAACAAAACAAAAAAAGGGTGAAGCAAATATGGAAAATGTTATAACTACTATGGAGGCTTTATATATGAATTTCCATTTATACTTATTTTTTCCTCCATAATTTTCACAATCAAAACAATAAAAGAATTGTACAAAGTATCTTTAAAACAGGCACAATGACAATAGAAAAATATCAGATAACAACTGGACAATAACTGAAAAAGCAGAAAAACTTGTAAGTATTCAAAATAATGTTAATGCAGGGTAATAATCATCCACATTTATTAATAAAGATCACAAAAAGTAAAATGAGGACTTGAAGCTTCACTTTTACAACACACTTTTAGCATTTCTATTGTTTTAAAAAATGTCCTAATATTCTACTTAAAATTTTTAATACAGTATACATTTTTTATTATATAATGAAACAAAAATTAGCCCTCAAACACCCATACTTACAAAGGGACACTTTCTTTACCCAATGGTGGGTTCATAATGTAGTCTTTGGTGATTGGTTTTACCCAGAGCAGAACCATAAGTAAAGGTGCCAAGAAGTTGATATGAAGCAATGTTCTGAAAGTATGCAAGAAATAAACATAAAAATCCAGAAACAAAATACACTAATAAACTACAGAAACTTAGGACTTACATAACGAAGGCAAAACTTATTTACAGGATTCTATATATTTAAGGTGCTACTATCACCATTATTTAATATTTATCATGATCATTTAACACTGATTTGAACCCTTGCAAAACTATTTCATTGTCTTAATTTTTCAGATAAGAACACTTAGATCCATGAAAGTTAAAGGACTTGCTCATAGCAATTATTATGTCAAGGGCAGATCTAGCATTAAAATCTAAATCTGTTCACTTCTATTGTAGCATTAAAAACCCCTCCTATCTCCCTGATTTAATACACAGGTACTTAAATGATTCTCTAACTTTACATAATCAATGAATTCAAAGATTTTTCAGTATGCAGTCATCTTTTGATACTTTTCAGTGTAGCTAAAACAACATGCCTCATTATTTACAAGTAAGATATAGGGACTAGCAAGATCCATAATACTAGAAGGCATACAGTAGATGGAACCTATTGCAACAACTCAGGAAGCTTTCAATATATAATGATCACGTATATTGTTCTAATTATGTTATTAAAATCATAAATAATTTATAAGTTTTCTTCTTGGATATTATAAAAATACATGAAATAAATTTCCCTATCCTTTACTAATCAAATAAATTTATATTACTCCTAACAAGACAATATACTTTAATACAGCAAAAGGTTTCAGGTATGAGCTATACCTTCATTAAGTGTTGTCCCAAACGTGTACCCCACAGAGATAGATGACTAGTAAGGATTTTTCTTATTTTAGAAAAAAAGAGAAATCCTTCAGATTATTTTATTGCCATGTACTACTTTCATTATCAACCACAGTGAAGGGCTACACTGGAAGGTTTAACACACACACACACACACACACACACACACACAGAGCTGGGAACCATGAACACGTGACAGGGAAAGGTGGAACTCTGGTTCCAAGCTCTGGCACTAAAATGAGTACTAGTGCCTGGCCATGGGGGTGAAGAGGACATTGCTCTTTGTGCCAGTCATGCTACTCTCTCAACAAAATGGGCTTGCCCACACCCGTGTATCAGGCAGAGTGCTACAACACAATGTGGGGCTACAATAAACTGAAAATAAGACTCCAAATCACTAAAGTGAAAAATCTTAAAAAGAAGCCACGTTTTAAAAGGAAACTAAAATGTGCCTCCGTCCCCACCCCAAAACACCACTAAATGTTTTTAATGTTTTAATAAAGTGATTCTCTCATCTCACAGGCTGGGTAAACCTTCGGGTGTGGGGAAGAAAGCAGCAGTATTAGGTATGCAGTGTTGCTAGGGAACACTCTAGTATTAAGGAGCAGCCCACAGCGGTTTCAGTAGCTGGTGAAGGACTCCCCTCCACCCACCCTTTCAGCTTATTTAAATCATAACACTGGGGTTAGTGGCCTAAAGTGTGTGTGTAGAGAAGGGAGGAGAACCAGGTTTTGTTTTAAAAGAAGCCATTAGATAAATGGAATGGTGGGAGAAAGGCAGGATGTAGCCAAGAACATACTGAGTAAAAAAGAGGAGGAAAAAGTGGGATGAAGCAGTGTGCATTGGTAGGTGAGAGTAAGTGAACACATACACATATCTAAAAAAATGGAGGTAAGAAAAAAAAAAAGACTGTCAAAATTAAAATAAAGGAAATGACATAGGTAAGAGATATTGATATAAAAACACTACAGAATCAGCATCATTAAAGTAAGGGTTTTTAAAGAGCAGAAATGTTAAGAAATGATCATTCAGAAACTTAACGACTATAAATACATATATCAAAAAAGACTATTCTCAACTCAGGCTTCTATTGCAAAACAAAAAGATGAGGAGGGAATTTGGATGTGGATACGAGCTGGATCTATAAACCTGTCAGCTAAGGTATCTGCATCAACAAAAAAAATATATACGATAACCACAAAGAATATAGTAAATGGGCTTTGAACTATATATAGGTTTTCAAATATGATTTCTCCATTTTGAGAACTAAAATAAAATTTGATAGTTAAAAGTAGTCTATGATATTTAACAGTGTACAGTACTAACAATCCCAAAAATAAAACAATGCATCCTTCTAACAAGAGTTGTACAAACACCTCTTATGTATACATATTTTACTTTATGTAAATGTTTTTTTTAAATTAAATAACACTGTTTACATACAATTCAAAGAAAATATTCCATAGATCCTCAGTTCAGTTGTAGAGATTACAATATCAAAAATTGTCCTGCGATAAAAAGTTAACATAAATAATGACATTTCCATTCTAACAGGTAAAACAATTTAGCAATTGATGTTATATTTTTTAAACCCAGGACTTAAAATTTGGAAGTGAATAAAAAAAAAAACTTGCTTAAAGTAGAAAGAGGAAGTAGTGTGACATCAAATTAATTTTCAATATAAAAATGTATGATTTCATTACAATAATATACCTTCAATAAGATGGAAAACATATATTTATCTGCATGTGCTTATGTACATTTTCCGCTTACTGTGTAATTTTTTCTGTTGCCAAATTCAGGGCATCCAGATGCATTTGAGCCAGCCGTAATCCAGGAAATGTCAAAAAAGCCCCAATGAGTGAACAGAAAATAGCCAGGAAAAATTTGAAAGTAAGTTTTGAAACAGGACCCCTAAAAATAAAATTTTAAAAAATCTGATAAATTTTTATAGTTACCTTTCTAGGAATATTTCTTTCTTCTAATCAATCATTTAAAAAACACATTAATAGTAATACACAAAGAGTAACTTTTACAAAAGGACTGCACTTATCCAAATATCCATAGAATTTAGTGAACTATAAACGAAATCAGGCATCTCTTTAGCAACATTTGAACAATCCAACCTACATATTCAACATAGAATTTGAAATGTGACATGTAAAAATTCTGTGAAAGATACTAATTTTATACAAATGTAAAAATTAAAAGAGTATTTCTAAAAGTGACAGTCCTACTTAAAACTCTTTCACTGGTTACAAACAAAGAACCACTCATAATAAATCTATTCTACTAAAAATGTAAAAATTTAAGTGATGCTTAATTAAAAAAAAAAAAAGAACTTACTGAGATTCTAAACCTTGCTTTTCAAGAAACTGCATCGCACTGTCTGAAAAATTTGTAAATCCTGTAGGGGAAAAATATTATTCTTACCACTGAAGTAAAATACAGAATCTTTCTTTGGAAATAAAATGCTAGAAAACAGAGTATCTTACACTTTGAAGTGACTAGTTTAGCTCTTTCATGTGCTAATTATCATGCCATAATGCAATAAAATTTGGTTACTAGCAGGAACAGTCTTTGAAAACATCCTTTTGATATTTGTACATTCCATGAGTGTGCATAAAATTTGCATTAAGATTTGCATCTGTGTTTATGTGAGTAAACTTTAGCATTACAGAAACTCATTTAATTATAAGGAAAAAGTGGGGAAAGAGTGCATGTCTGAAGAAAGGTAACAAAAATTTAGCTAAAACAAAAGAGGAAGGAAGATATTACTTAATAACAATAAAGGTTATTTAGAACATTGCAAAATATGCACCTCTAACCTAATTTTAAAAACTTATCTGATGTAAAACTTACTTGAATATTGAAGTAAAAAATAGTAACACTAGATAAAGCAAAACTGATTTTTAAAGTTGTATGAATTACCTGTTTCGAGTCCAAATTCCAGATAATTTTCTGTTACAATCAAGACTGCCATTGCTTTCACGAAGAAAAAAAATCCAAAGGTAACACAGACTGATCTTTCACCACCATCTTTTACTTTAAAATAGTGTGTAGTTAATGAAAATAGAACTTTGCTGCAGAAGGAAAAGTTCAGGAAAAACCACAAATAACTTTGTGGGAGTCAGACACAACCATCTTTACAGAACTTGAATTCCAATAAAATTTGATTACATTTATTTTGATTCTACAACATGCTTATCTACGAGGTGCTCTTTGGAAGGAAATGAAAAAAAAAAACACAATGAAAATGTGAACAGTCTTCTAAGATATAGGACATAAAGAAATGAAGCAAATCTAAGTGAAATCCGTAACATTTAAATGCACATACACAGATTAAGTTGCAATTAGGAAGAGAATGTCTTTCTAGTTAGTCTGATTCAAATTTTACTAGGAGATTAGTATAGTAATTTTATGACATAGGTTCTCAGTGACATGAAAAGCCAAGGTAGAGGTTATATTAGGGAACTATCTTTAATTGGGCACATTTATTAAACAGTTTAGATTTAGATTGAACACACAAACACAAGTCATAGGAATCAACTGTAAATCATCCAATAACTCAAAATCTAAGAATTTCTAATACCTGTTGGTAAGCTGTGATACAAAAACTAAGTATCTGATTCACCATTTCACAGTATCATTAAAAAAAACAAATTCCAGTTGAATACTCAAAAACAGTTAAAGGTTCAATTAAAAATATTAAAACATTTTCATTTTATATGAACTCCCTCTCACTAACTGGTCAAGATCAGATTAATGGGTGATCCAAACTAGAACCCAGATTTCTATTATAACAAATTGTTCTCCTTGAAGGCATAAACCCACCAAACCAAATAAGATGCTTGGCAAAAAAAATATAGAAAGCATTTTTTAGATACCACTGTATGTCGAGCATGGAAAATAATGACAACAGTCATGTAGTACTTGCTAAGTGCTAGGCATTACCAATTAACTCATTTCATCCCCACATTAGCCAGCTATTACTACTTTTATAGATTTAAAAAAAAATCTGTCGAGACCACCAAGATGGCAGCATAGGTAAACACCTGGACTTGCTGCCATGCACAACCACATTAAAACTACAACTAAACGACAAAACGAGTATCATTCAGAACCACAGAAAGGCTGGCTGAGTGGAAATTCTACAACTAGAAGGAAAGAGAAAAGCGCAGAGTCCAGTAGGAGGTGCAGAGGTGTGGAAGTGTGGAGGTAAGGAGGCGGGCGAAAGGGGCTGGCAGCTGGGTACGCTGTTGTCTTTTTCAATCGGGAGGGAGAAACAAGCTCCCCACTGCTCTGAACTCCAGCACCGGGCGAGAATTTGGGGATCCAGACTCATACTGAGAGAAACTGGACTGTCTGGCATCGGGCAGTAACATGAGGGAGGCTTTCTCGCAGAGGTGCTTGCAGCGGTCATTGTTCCTGCACGGGGCTGCGGAACACAGACCCCGGGACCTCTCCAAGGCAGAGCAGACTGGCAGCCATTGTGGTTTCCTCTGAACTGGTGATTCCCTGAGACCCTGCCCCACCCAATTTACAACCCCACCCAAGCTGTGTGCAGAGGCTTTTGCATATGAATGGCCTGGCCTTTCTCTGCCTAAAAACCTGGGCAGACTCAGTGAGCACCAAAACCCCACTGAAGCAAGTCCTGCCCCATAAGGGTGTCTCCAGCACAGAAGTTCTCCCATTGTAGACACAACTGGTCCTCACAGCCAATTGGCCTGAGGTCAATTCCTCCCAGTGATACCAACAGCAATCAAGGCTTAACTACAACAAGACTGTGCACACAGCCCACAAAGGGGTGCACCAAGTGTCCACCTCAGGTAATTAGGGAGGCTGAGCCACTGGGCCCTATAGGACACCTAGCACACAAAGTCACTCTATCAACACAGGGAAGCAGCCAAAATGCAGAGACAAAGAAACAGGTCACAAATGAAAGAAATGGAGGAAAGCAAACGACTGGATATAGAGTTCAAAACCACGGTTATAAGGTTACTCAAGAATCTTCTATAGCCAAAACCGGTTTGGCTCGGTGGATAGAGCGTCGGCCTGCGGACTGAAAGGTCCCAGGTTCGATTCCGGTCAAGGGCATGTACCTGGGTTGCGGGCACATCCCCAGTGGGAGATGTGCAGGAGGCAGCTGATCGATGTTTCTCTCTCGTCGATGTTTCTGACTCTCTATCTCTCTCCCTTCCACTCTGTAAAAAATCAATAAAATATATTAAAAAAAAAAAAAAAGAATCTTCTATAAACCTCCGAGAAATATAGTGAGACCCTCAAGGATATGAAAAAGGACCAATTAGAAATTAAGCATACACTGACTGAAATAAAGAATAATATACAGAGCTCCAAAAGCAGACTAGAGGATCCCAAGAATCAAGTTAAAGATTTGAAATACGAAGAAGCAAAAACACCCAACTGGAAAAGCAAAAGGAAAAAAGAATACGAAAATATGAAGATATTGTAAGGAGCCTCTAGGACAACTTAAAGCATACCAACATCCGAATTATAGGGGTGCCATAAGATGAGAGAGAGCAAGATATTGTAAAGACATCCTGTATTAGCTAAGATAGCAGCAAAGTTTCTTGTTGAGCTATTTATCTATCAAATTTTTCTAATTATAACAAATTGTTCTGAAATAAGAAAACAAAATCTTGTTCTGCTCTAATATTATAAATATGCTTATTAGCAGCAAGTTATTCACACAGAAAAATAAACTACATCTGAAATACTATAGAAATGGATTTCAAAATAAAATTTCTCTAAGACTTATTTCCTTTGAATGTTTCTTCATAAATTGTCCACAATTGCCATGTAAATTAGACTTATTTTTCCATTTTATACATAAATACAACCTGATCATGTAAATAATATTGGATAATATACCAAAATAAGCCTTCTATATTTACAGATAATGTATAATAAAAAACATTTACTAGGTAAAATCATGGCATTTATCTATTTTTGTCTTAGTGGGAATAATGGGCAAGCACCTTCACTATGAGTAACCTCCCCCCATCTTTATCCCTCTATTATTTTCATAGATCATTCTGTAGACTTTCATAAAGAATATTATATTAGTAAACTAGAGGTCCGATGCACAAAATTCATGCAAGGGGCTCAGCCCTCACAGACGCAGTGGCTTGCCTTGGCCCTCGCAGCCCCGGCTTTATCCGGAACGTCATTCGGCTGTCTGGTCTAATTAGCATATTATGCTTTTATTATTATAGATATTCAAAATTACATATACAAATAGTTATTTTCTTTTTATTTAATAATTTATCCCCTTATTAATAACCCTTCAGCCCTAGTTGAATGTACTGCCTACTTAAGTGCTAACTTATTTTGCTTTATATTATAAAATCTCAATCCTTAAAGTAAATAGAATGTTAGGGGTAAGATAAATTTTTTTCTGCTATATGTATGATATTTTTAAAGTTCTAATTTAATATCAACTTTTTTTGCAATTGGAATTTGGTCATAATTTCTACATGCAAATACAAAAACTACAATGGAAAAGAAACCATGGATAGTTAAAAAGATTACTCAGTAGGAAGTATTTTAAATATATTTATCTTCAAGGTGGAAATAAGAGCTTTCAAATGATCAAAAGGCTTAACTTTAGTTCTAAAATGGCAAATTTCTCTCAAATCTAGGATAACAAATAAAATATACTTACAAAGCTACTAATATGTTTTAACTTAATTTGTGTTCACATTGCTGTAAAGACCCAATTCTTGTATTAAGAAAATGTCTTCTGCCCTAGCTGGTTTGGCTCAGTGGATAGAGCTTCAGCCTGCAAACCAAAGGTCCCTGGCTGCTATTCTGGTCATAGGCACGTACCTTGGTTGCAGGCTCCTCCCAGGCCCAGGCCCTGGTAGGGGCACATGCAGGAGGCAACCAATCGATGTGTTTCTCTCACATCAATATTTCTCTGTTTTTCCCTGTGTCTTCCCCTCTCTAAAAAATCAATGGAAAAACATCCTTGAGGATTTAAAAAAAAAGTCTTCTGTACCTTAATATTTTGAAATTATTCAAGATATTTTATCAATGCTTTTTTGAGAAGGAAAAGGATCAAGCAAGATCATATTCTAAAAAATATTTTGTTGCCAATAGACAAATCAAACAGATAGTCTAAGGAATAAACACAGAAATTTACAGAAGTTTCTCAAAATTTATATTATCTTATTGTTTCAATTCAACTAAGTTATGTAACTAAACTTTCATGTAAACTTTCATGTAAATTAAAAGTTTTCTGCACTGTTAAAAAAAAAATCTTGTTTTTGCTACCTAACAATAAAAAAACACCATTTTCCCATTCAAATGGTTAAACCTCCCACATCTATTTTTCCATAAGAAAAGGCAACTAAAATACCCAAAAAAACATACTATGCATTTTCACTGCAAAGAAACCTAGAAACTATACCAAGAATCTGCTATAGTGTATACACTGAAAACTAACAATAAGTACATTGATCCTATGACCTGGCAAGTAAAATCCTTTAAACTGTCTTCCAATGTTAAAAAATGAAACAAAACAACCAACTTGGATAATTTTTAACTGAAATATTTTTTCATATTTGAGATAAAGGTTTAATTAGTATATTTTAGTTAAAAAGAAAATTAGTTAAAAAGAAAAACCTAAAATTCTCTCATAGATAAACTAAAAAGTACTATGCATATGTAAAACTCATCCCTCAAGAAGCTTATAGCCAGCCAGCCTCAACCTAGCCTGACTATGGAAGGAAATAATAGCTAAAGATTTTAAAAAGGGCAATACACAGGCTTTCTTTAAAAATAAAAGGAAGCAAGGAAGCAAAGAAGCAAGCAAACAAAAAACCTATTATCTAATCTCCTGGATTAAAATAAAGCACAACAACAAAAGTTATTCTTCAACTTTCAGATTCTGAAGGAAAATGATAATTTACAAGCTAAAATAAAAAGTCATACTCAATTATAAACTAATAAACAGAAATATAGCCCTATCTCCCAAGTAAGTTCCCTATATAATGCTAGGTTTCTGATCTGGAAGGTGAATTAATTTGGCAGCATTAATGTCACAGATCTCTAAAAGTTT